AAAAGGCTGTGTGACAAAGCTTGCGACAAACATAGCCCTGCTGAGGAAGCTGCAGACCCTCTTTATGGCGGAGGACAAGCCAAACCAGCTGTGTTCAACACAGAATGGGGGAAGGCAGAAAACCATGATGTTCTTGAAGAAAACATGGTAATTTATGTCAAAGACCTCAAAGGATCAATGGATAACAAAGTAAAATGATGTTCTCAAGGTTTTTAGGTCAGCAAGCAAGAGGTCACCCTTAACAATGAGTGTAAAAAAGCTAACGGAAAATAAAGTGTTATTTAAAAATATCAATAAGATCTTGAGTATCTAAGAATCAATCTATGAAGTCTTCCTGAGATCTCTATGGAGAAAATACAGAAATTGTTTTTAAAGAAAAATTGTTTTGCAAGAAGAGCTGTGCAAATGGTAGGATATACCATATTCATGGATGACAAGTCTTAACATTACAAAAATTAAATTTTCCTTACGTTGATCCTATATATAATAAGTTTAATTATAACTGAGATTCCAGAAGGATTTAATTTTGGAGTTTCTTCCATAAATCTAAAACATGTAAAATTTGTGAATAACTGAGACGAAAATGAACGATAACGAAAAGGAGGGTCCGTGTTGTGTTCTAAGGCAGAATAAAATGTTAGCCATTAAAATAGTTCACTGCTACACACAATGGATAAATACTGTTTCACTGCCTGGAATGGTAACCCATGCAGTTGGGAACTTTAATTTTTAATAAATTGAACAGGAATATGGCTTGTTGTATGCAGAAAATTAAAATTAGGGGACTGTCTCATAGTCTCTAAAATGCAGATGAATTTAAGATATAAAAGTGAAAGTAAAAAATACAAGAGTGGAAGATAGAGTGTGAGGGAAGAAATTCTTAAATGCGATTCTCAGAGCATAAACGTTGCTTAGGAAAGTACTGGATTTAACAGTATCAAAATTGCAGACAGATGCTTCCCAGTTCCCACAGACACTAAAAGATGGTGGATAAACCAGGAGGAGATATTTAATATATTTCTAGACCCTCATGGGGAAGGGATGGAATGGCTTAAGCCTTGACAGACATGGGTTAATGCCTACACTCTTCTAGAAACTCCAAACCAACAGAAAAGAGCAGGAGAACCCAAAGGGACAATGTCCAAAGAATGGAAAAACAGATGGCTAACAAGGACACAAAGAAATCTTCAACGTTGTTTTGAATGAGAACAAAGCAAATAAAACACAGAGGCCCTGTACTGTCCAAGACCCTGCAGGGTGGTACTGAGTGCACTGCGGCACACGTGCCCCAGAAACACTCACACAATGCTAAGATAAGGCAGCAAGAGCCCCGGCAAGGTGACAGAGGTGTGACGTGCAGGGACGCCCCACAGTGAGCATTCTTCAGTGGCACTGGCTTTTCATGGAGCACTGCAAATCAAGCTGAAAGACTGTAGGTTTGCTAAGTGAGAGACAGAATGAGGCGTGAATGAGACGTAACCAACACACAGGGAAGATACCTGTCATGACTGAGCCCAGGTACATAAATAAAACGTAAGGAAGGTGGGTTAAGGTACACACGCGAGGACCGGTGCCCACGGGTGAGGATGATGGTGAAGGAAAAACAAGTTAAATAATAAAAATGTCTATGTCGGATTCATTAACACAGGATACTTTGTTTAAGGGTCTTACATTGTTGCCCAGGCTGTCGTTGATGTCACAGTGCTCCTGCCTTAGCCTCCCGAACGCTAGGCTTACAGCAGTGTGCCACCATGCCCGGTTTAACTGAGGATTCTGGTCTATAATATTCTCAGCACATATCTGGTGTATAAATATGTATATAGTTGAATAATGATGTAGGTATTAATTTTATTACAAAAAAAGATGAATCCTTTTATAACTAACAGGGTACAACTCAGTGCAAAACATGAAACCGTATGGTTGTGTTTTGTGATGCTGGGGTTGGAGCCAGGGCCTCACTAATGCTAGGTAAATGCGTACCTCTGAGCTAACCCCCAGCCCCTGCTGGACTTTTAATACTCATACTCCCAAAGGCTCAGGTGTTGGAGGCTTGTCCTTAGGCCATGGTGCCATTGGAAGGTGATGGAACCTTCAGGAAGTGAGGCTGAGCGGAGGAAAGTTAGGTCACCGGGGATGCTGATCTCCTCCCCTCTCTCTGGCCTCTGTGAGGTGAACAGGCCTCCACTGCCGTGTCCCCTGGCCGTGAGCTGCCACAGGCCCAAAGCAATGGGGCCAGGTAACCATGCACTGAAAGCCCCAACACCACAAGCTAAAATAAACCCTTCCTCCTTTTAAGTGGATTCCCTAGAGTATTTTGTCACAGGGACAGAAAACTAATACACAAGTGTAGACGAAAGCAGAGCCCCAGCTTTCCCTTCTCTCACTGTCCAGTTTGAAGAGACTCAGCTTGCTGTGCACTTTGCCTAGCACTCTGGAGCAGCTGGTCATGGCGAGGCATCGTCTGCATCAACGGCCTTCGCTTCTGAGTTTCTGAGCGTCTGGGAGTGCTCTGCTCACCTTGCAGTATTTGTTCAGCCTAGAGAAGAGAAGAGGTGGGACACATTGAATGTGACCTTGGCCTCTGCCGTTTGTTGAGTGTTACTTCCCTGCAGCCTCCGTAAATACTCTGTGCTCTTAGAGAGGGCGTGTGCCGTGGTTGGTGTGGGTGACTGTGTGGAGCCATTTGAGTTACTTCGCTAATTGTGAGGTTCAAATACCCCAGTCTTCCCGGATGTTTTTATGCCTGTTGTGTTCAAATGACTGAGAGGCATGTTAAAATCTGCCGCTGTGGTTATGGCTTTATCTTTGTCACTCTGTAGTTTCTCAAAGATTGCTTTGTACATTTTAAGACTATTTTATCATGAACACACGTAACACAGGTAGACCCCCTGCTTTGTTGAAGTCATCGACTGACCCTTTTTGTCCCTTCTCATTTCTTTGGCCTTCATTTCTGTTTTGCTCACTATTAATGCAATTTTCCTGAAATGTTTTGTCTCTATCTGTCTGTCTATCTGTCATCTATCTACCATCTAGGTATCTATCTAGCATCTATCAATCTAACCACCTATTGGTCTTTAAATTTGTTGTGTGTCTTCTATCTTGGAAATTATTTCTGGAGTGACTTCTTTCTCTGGCTTTCCTTGAGTGCTGTCACCCCATTTTGCAACTTCTATCTCTCTGAGCTCCACTGCTGACTCACTTCTGGCCTCTTTTTGTTGATTGGCTTTTTTGGATACAGTGGCTACCATTCCCATCTGTTTTGGGGCTTGTCTTCCTTTGTCTCTGGCATTCCCATGGCCCTATACCCACACGCCACTGAGCAAGGAAGTCTCTCATGGTTTTAGGGGCTGCGTTCAGGTTCATTCTGTGCCTTTACAGCAAGTACCTGGTAGCTGTTTTGAAGGTCTCCTGTTTTGGGGTCAGTCAGAAGTCCCTTGCTCCTCTGCATAGACAGTGATATGGGGGGTAACTTGGAACCCCCACTTGTTTGAACTTGGGGCTCACTTGGTTTTGTTATAAATGATAGCCTTCTGTCCAGTCCAGTTCTTTGTCCATTTTATTTGGGCAACACTCACTGTGTGAAACAGGCCTTGATGACTCTGAGAACTTTCTGGGATTTCCATTTAAATGTCAGGTCAGAATATCTTACGCAGTCCTCCTAACATCAGGAAGTAAATGATCACCGGATTTCTAGAGAGACGACACTGGGCACACTTTCTCCCTCTCAATGTCATTAAAATAATACAAAGTTTTATTTCTATATTCTTGTTTTTCCTACATCGTATCTCTTTTATCTCAGAGAATTGTTTGTTTGTTTGGTTGGTTAGTTGAGACAGGGTCTCACTATGCCACCCAGGCTGGCCTCCAATTCACGATCTTCCTGCCTCAGCTTCCCAAGTACTGGGGTTACAGGTGTAACCCCAAAGATTCTTAGGAATCTCTGCTTCGAAATTCCCATCCCATTCCCCCTGCATTATCAGAAGGTGTCTGGATTTGGCAGTAGGTTTTAGTGGAAGTCCCTGCTTGCCAGGTCTTCTGTGCGTTGCGTTTTTCTCTTTCTTCCTCCGTCTTCATCTGATGGTTGAACTTCCTCATAACTGCTCTCTCTGACCCAGAAATGGAGTCCTTCTAAAGTCGTGAGGGTATAACCAGTTTGGAGAATACTCTTACCTGTGTGGCAGGTTAACAGTCTTGTTTTGCCTTCCCCAGGTTTTTCCAAAGGCTCCACACTGAGCTTCCTCTTACTGTGGCGAGACTGTTTTTGTAATGACACCTGTTCTTGAGAACGCAGCGTTCCAAGGACCAGTGTTTCTGTACTGGGGCCTGAGAGGAGGGTGGGAAAAGGAAGCTGGCTGTCTCTTTCTCGGTCATTCACACACACGCGGTGATGGGTTCAGAGGGTTGTCAGTACTTGGTGGGTACTCAGTACCCATCTGCCTTTCAGTGAGGGAAGGCGCTTGGGGGTCACTGGGAAAATGGGAGCGCAGGGCAGGGCTCTGTGTGCCTGCATGTGTTTTGGCATGGATTTCTACTCCTGATCCAAAAATTCGTCAGCACACAGGAATGGAGTGGAAAGAAAGAATTGCATGAAGCATGCAGTTGTTTTACAGAGTGGTGAGGATTTATTAAGAGGAAGTTTATTGGTTATTTTATTTTAAACTAGAGAGAAATAAGAGGCAACAGGAAGGAAGGAGAGCTCTTGGAAAAGTGAGTCAGGGGTATAGGAAGTAGCCCCAAGCTCCCAGGGTCCCCAAGGTTAAGAAGCTGGTTAAAACAATCCTCAGTCCATCACTCAGAAGCTTTGGCCCAGCTGTGGGGTCAGATCAGCCCTTCAGTAGCCCAGGAACAGGCAGGTAGTGACCACTGTGGCCTGTCTCCAGTAACTGGGAAGTGCATTTTCCTGAGAGAGGGGCTGGAAACAAGGCCCAGAGAAAGCTGCACCAGGGAGCAAGGTGAGGACATGAATGAAGGAGGGGACAGGCTGCAGGCAACTCAAGGAGGTTCAGTGGGACACCAAGAAAGGATTGTCACAAATACTGAGAAACCTGAAGACCTGAAAAAGCTTTAGATCTTGCACTGACAGCACACAGGGACACAGCAGCTGGACTGGGAGCAGCAGGGCTTGCAACAGCTGGACTGGCAGCACACAGGGACACAGCAGCTGGACTGGGAGCAGCAGGGCTTGCAGCAGCTGGACTGACAGCACACAGGGACACAGCAGCTGGACTGGCAGCAGCAGGGCTTGCAGCAGCTGGACTGGCAGCACACAGGGACACAGCAGCTGGACTGGGAGCAACAGGGCTTGCAGCAGCTGGACTGGCAGCCCCCACAGGAGCCACAGCTGGAGCAGGGACAGGCTGGCACACAGCAGCACACAGGCACACAGCCACTGGAGCCACAGCCTCCCTTGGAGCCCCCACAGGAACCACAGCCCCCCTTGGAGCCTCCACAGGAGCCACAACCCCCACAGGAGCCCCCACAGGAACCACAGCCTCCCTTGGAGCCTCCACAGGAACCACAGCCTCCACAGGAGCCACAGCCTCCCTTGGATCCCCCACAGGAACCACAGCCTCCACAGGAACCACAGCCCCCCTTGGAGCCCCCACAGGAACCACAGCCTCCCTTGGAGCCTCCACAGGAACCACAGCCTCCACAGGAACCACAGCCTCCCTTGGAGCCTCCACAGGAACCACAGCCTCCCTTGGATCCCCCACAGGAACCACAGCCTCCCTTGGCGCCTCCACAGGAACCACAGCCTCCCTTGGAGCCTCCACAGGAACCACAGCCCCCACAGGAGCCCCCACAGGAACCACAGCCCCCCTTGGAGCCCCCACAGGAGCCACAGCTGGGGCAGGCACAGGCTGGCACACAGCAGCACACGGGCACACAGCCACTGGAGCCACAGCCCCCACAGGAGCCACAGCCTCCGGAGCAGTCACAGCAGCTCATGGTTCTGTTTGGAGGATGGAGGGGTCCGAGGAGCAGGTGGAGAGAGAGGGAGGAGTGCAGTGTGGAGCCTCCTGAGCCCGGCCCTTTTTATACCACTCTAGTGGCTGCACAGGTCACGTAGTCACTTCCTTGTGACTGTTCCTGTTTATCCAGACGCCTGGTTTTTCTCCTTCCAATGACTTCCTACTGCCTCAGCTAAGCATCCACTTTTGTTTTCTGAATTTGACTTCCTGTTTTGTTTCAGCCCCTCTAATTGGAGCCTCATTCCGGGCTGTCGGGTGTGTCCCCAGGAGGCCAGTGTGATGGTCATCTGCTTTCTCTGTGACTGCATGTGGCCATGATGACAGCATCCTTCCCAGGAGGTCTCGCCTTTGCTCTTGACTTTAACCTGATAGTATTAATGTCCCATTCTGATTTTCAAGTCACCTGTGGTCTTCACTGGAAACAATAAGAACTAAAGAAGAAAAACCGCCCGCTGTCATCTTGCCCACGGATGACATCTAGTTGATTTCTGTCAGCATGCTGCACACACACGGAGTAAATGTCCTTGTGTCTCCTCTGCCTCAGTTTCCACACACCTCTCTCCGCCTCTGGGGGCGCCATTCCATTTCTGTCCATTGGGACCAACCTCACCCTGATTTTGTGTCTACAGGAGGATCTGACAGTTCCATGTCCTTCTGACTCGATCTTCTCACTTCTCCAGAGAGTCTGCCTGTCTGAGGCTGCTTCCAGCTCAGCTTTGCTCCAGAGCAGAGGTCCTCTCCACCTGGGCTGGTGTGTCCCCAAATGCAGGTGCTGGAAACTTCATCCCCAGTCTGGTGTTAGGAGGAGGGGCCTCCTGGGGGCCTCTGCCCTCATGCTGCTGTGGAAAGGACTGGCAGGAATGGCAGATGTGACTTCTGCCTTGCTCTAAGTGGGGACAAGAGTCATTCCTTCTGCCTTTCACCTCCACACAAGCATACAGGAAGGCTGGCAGAGTGGCTCAAGCAGTAGAGCGCCTGCCTAGCAAGCATGAGGTCCTGAGTTCAAACCTCAGTGCTGTCAAAAAAAAAAAAAAAAGGCAAGCATGCAGGAAGAAGGCCCACACAGATTTCAGTGACATTTTTTAGGGATGGCATCGTGCTATGTAGCCCAGGCTGGCCTCGAACCCCTGGGCTTCTGCCTTTGCCTCCCGGGTAGCTGGGACTCAATTGGTATGGCCACCAAGCCCTGCTCTAGGATGGCAGCTCCTTGATCTTGGACCATCCAGCCTATGAGAGGAGTGTCTCTGTTCTAAGTTTTCTTTCCATTGTAGCAGCACAGAAGAGGCTAAGACACACTGTAATCAACAAACCTCTGCTTTGGGGACGTGTTTAACACTTTGTTTAGGGGACGTGTGCTAAATCTTATCACTGACCACAACAGGGGTCCTGGCCATGCTCCCGGGCTTGCTCCCGGGCTTCCGCCTCATACTAGCTGCTTCTTCCCCAGCTGACCTTGCCAGGTCTCCTTCCCTCTGTGTGAAAATTGTCCTCCTATCCTTTTCTCAATCTCTACTCCTGGCTCTGGTCCCGATGGCTTTGGCCCACCCATATCACGTGAAAATCTCTGCAGGGAAGCTCCTTGCTTCTCAGGAAGCAAAGCCTTGTCCCTATAGAGAGAACTTACAGCTCTTCTGCAGCCTGGCACTCTCACCACAGGACCTTCGATAAATGGGCTGCCCTGTATCACCACCTCTGTTGGACCTGTTGTCTGGACATTAAACTGGTTTTCCTGATATTGATCCTCTGTGCCTGGCCTGGTCCAGCCTCCATGTCCACATGCTCACTTGGGCTTGAGCAGTGTGTGAGCACTGCCTTGGGCTGGCCTGGGTCTGTCCTTTGTCACCATGGGTACTAGTGGACTGACTTCTCTGCATCTTTTTTTTTTTTTTTTTCATTTTTCTTTTATTATTCATATGTGCATACAAGGCTTGGTTCATTTCTCCCCCCTGCCCCCACCCCCTCCCTTACCACCCACTCCACCCCCTCCCTCTCCTCCCCCCTCAATACCCAGCAGAAACTATTTTGCCCTTATCTCTAATTTTGTTGTAGAGAGAGTATAAGCAATAATAGGAAGGAACAAGGGTTTTTGCTGGTTGAGATAAGGATAGCTATACAGGGCATTGACTCACATTGATTTCCTGTGCGTGGGTGTTACCTTCTAGGTTAATTCTTTTTGATCTCACCTTTTCTCTAGTTCCTGGTCCCCTTTTCCTATTGGCCTCAGTTGCTTTAAGGTATCTGCTTTAGTTTCTCTGCATTAAGGGCAACAAATGCTAGCTAGTTTTTTAGGTGTCTTACCTATCCTCACCCCTCCCTTGTGTGCTCTCGCTTTTATCATGTGATAGTCCAATCCCCTTGTTGTGTTTGCCCTTGATCTAATGTCCACATATGAGGGAGAACATACGATTTTTGGTCTTTTGAGCCAGGCTAACCTCACTCAGAATGATGTTCTCCAATTCCATCCATTTACCAGCGAATGATAACATTTCGTTCTTCTTCATGGCTGCATAAAATTCCATTGTGTATAGATACCACATTTTCTTAATCCATTCGTCAGTGCTGGGGCATCTTGGCTGTTTCCATAACTTGGCTATTGTGAATAGTGCCGCAATAAACATGGATGTGCAGGTGCCTCTGGAGTAACAGTCTTTTGGGTATATCCCCAAGAGTGGTATTGCTGGATCAAATGGTAGATCGATGTCCAGCTTTTTAAGTAGCCTCCAAATTTTTTTCCAGAGTGGTTGTACTAGTCTACATTCCCACCAACAGTGTAAGAGGGTTCCTTTTTCCCCCATCCTCGCCAACACCTGTTGTTGGTGGTGTTGCTGATGATGGCTATTCTAACAGGGGTGAGGTGGAATCTTAGTGTGGTTTTAATTTGCATTTCCTTTATTGCTAGAGATGGTGAGCATTTTTTCATGTGTTTTCTGGCCATTTGAATTTCTTCTTTTGAGAAAGTTCTGTTTAGTTCACTTGCCCATTTCTTTATTGGTTCATTAGTTTTGGGAGAATTTAGTTTTTTAAGTTCCCTGTATATTCTGGTTATCAGTCCTTTGTCTGATGTATATTGGCAAATATTTTCTCCCACTCTGTGGGTGTTCTCTTCAGTTTAGAGACCATTTCTTTTGATGAACAGAAGCTTTTTAGTTTTATGAGGTCCCATTTATCTATGCTATCTCTTAGTTGCTGTGCTGCTGGGGTTTCATTGAGAAAGTTCTTACCTATACCTACTAACTCCAGAGTATTTCCTACTCTTTCTTGTATCAACTTAAGAGTTTGGGGTCTGATATTAAGATCCTTGATCCATTTTGAGTTAATCTTGGTATAGGGTGATATACATGGATCTAGTTTCAGTTTTTTGCAGACTGCTAACCAGTTTTCCCAGCAGTTTTTGTTGAAGAGGCTGCTATTTCTCCATCGTATATTTTTAGCTCCTTTGTCAAAGATAAGTTGCTATAGTTGTGTGGCTTCATATCTGGATCCTCTATTCTGTTCCACTGGTCTTCATGTCTGTTTTTGTGCCAGTACCATGCTGTTTTTATTGTTATTGCTTTGTAATATAGTTTGAAGTCAGGTATTGTGATACCTCCTGCATTGTTCTTTTGACTGAGTATTGCCTTGGCTATTCGTGGCCTCTTGTGTTTCCATATAAATTTCACAGTAGATTTTTCAATCTCTTTAATGAATGTCATTGGAATTTTGATGGGAATTGCATTAAACATGTAGATTACTTTTGGGAGTATCGACATTTTTACTATGTTGATTCTACCAATCCATGAGCATGGGAGATCTCTCCACTTTCTATAGTCTTCCTCAATCTCTTTCTTCAGAAGTGTATAGTTTTCCTTGTAGAGGTCTTTCACATCTTTTGTTAGGTTTACACCTAGGTATTTGATTTTTTTTGAGGCTATTGTAAATGGAATTGTTTTCATACATTCTTTTTCCGTTTGCTCATTGTTAGTGTATAGAAATGCTAATGATTTTTCTATGTTGATTTTATATCCTGCTACCTTGCTATAGCTATTGATGATGTCTAGAAGCTTCTGAGTAGAGTTTTTTGGGTCTTTAAGGTATAGGATCATGTCGTCTGCAAATAGGGATATTTTGACAGTTTCTTTACCTATTTGTATTCCTTTTATTCCTTCTTCTTGCCTAATTGCTCTGGCTAGGAATTCCAGTACTATGTTGAATAGGAGTGGAGATAGTGGGCATCCTTGTCTGGTTCCTGATTTTAGAGGGAATGGTTTTAATTTTTCTCCGTTAAGTATAATGCTGGCTGTAGGTTTGTCATATATAGCTTTTATAATGTTGAGGAACTTTCCTTCTATTCCTAGTTTTCTTAGAGCTTTTATCATGAAATGATGTTGGATCTTATCAAAGGCTTTTTCTGCATCTATTGAGATGATCAAGTGGTTTTTGTCTTTGCTTCTGTTAATGTGGTTTATTACGTTTATTGATTTTCGTATGTTGAACCACCCCTGCATCCCTGGGATGAAGCCTACCTGGTCGTGGTGAATAATCTTTTTGATGTGTTGCTGAATTCGTTTGCCATTATTTTGTTGAGGATTTTTGCATCAATGTTCATTAAGGAGATTGGCCTATAGTTCTCCTTTTTGGAGGTGTCTTTGCCTGGTTTTGGGATAAGTGTAATACTGGCTTCATAAAATGTGTTTGGCAGTTTTCCTTCCCTTTCTATTTCATGGAACAGTTTAAGGAGGGTTGGTATCAGTTCTTCTTTAAAGGTCTGATAGAATTCAGCAGAGAATCCATCAGGTCCTGGACTTTTCTTTTTGGGGAGACTCTTGATTGCTGCTTCAATTTCATTTTGTGTTATAGTCTATTCAGGTGATTAATTTCCTCTTGGTTCAGTTTTGGATGATCATATGTATCTAGAAATCTGTCCATTTCTTTTAGATTTTCAAATTTATTTGAATATAGGTTCTCAAAGTAGTCTCTGATGATTTCCTGGACTTCCATGGTGTTTGTTGTTATCTCCCCTTTTGCATTCCTGATTCTACTAATTTGGGTTTTTTCTCTCCTCATTTTAGTCAGGTTTGCCAGGGGTCTATCGATCTTGTTTATTTTTTCAAAGAACCAACTTTTTGTTTCATTAATTCTTTGTATGGTTTTTTTGGTTTCTATTTCGTTGATTTCAGCTCTTATTTTTATTATTTCTCTCCTTCTATTTGTTTTGGGATTTGCTTGTTCTTGTTTTTCTAGGAGTTTGAGATGTATCATTAGGTCATTGATTTGGGATCTTTCAATCTTTTTAATATATGCACTCATGGCTATAAACTTTCCTCTCAAGACTGCCTTAGCTGTGTCCCATAGGTTCCGGTAGGTTGTGTTTTCATTTTCATTGACTTCCAGGAACTTTTTAATTTCCTCTTTTATTGCATCGATGATCCATTCTTCATTAAGTAATGAGTTATTTAGTTTCCAGCTGTTTGCATGTTTTTTGTCTTTACTTTTGTTGTTGAGTTCTACTTTTACTGCATTGTGGTCAGATAGTATGCATGGTATTATTTCTATTTTCTTATATTTGCTGAGGCTTGCTTTGTGCCCTAGGATATGATCTATTTTGGAGAAGGTTCCATGGGCTGCTGAGAAGAATGTATATTGTGTAGAGTTGGATGAAATGTTCTGTAGACATCTACTAGGTCCACTTGATCTATTGCATATTTTAGATCTTGGATTTCTTTATTGAGTTTTTGTTTGGATGACCTATCTATTGATGATAATGGAG